TTATTCAGTGGTATACATTGGAGTGTGTACCTAGGCTATATTCATATTTTTTTTAAAGGTACTTGATCAGATTTTTAAGTTCAGTCTCTCTTCCATAGCATTATTGGTATATTTTTAGTGGTATATTTTATTCTTGGTTTGAGTGAAACCAATTATCTCTCTAGAATGTTTTTCTGCTAAGAAAATAATTTTTTAGACCATTTGCCATTCTATTAGTATTCTTAAGTTTATTCTTATTATTCTTGGGCTTAAGACTTTTTCTATCTTACAACTTGTTAGTTTTACATTTATGTACTTCATTTAATATTATAGCTTAGAAACAGTTGGATAAAGTCCTCCTGAAATTTAGCAGAAGTCCCCAAACTCAAAAAGAAATTGTATATAGTATTATAGTACTAGCTAATGTATATGGAGTCCTTTTTTTGGTGAGACACTGTTCATACTTGTACCCTTACATTTAATCACTAAAACAACTCTGGGATGGGTGCCATGAATATGCCCTAATGAAGAAACTGAGACTTAGAGTTTATTTTTTTAAAATTAGGTATTATTAAAAAGAAGGAAAATTTAAAACATAAGTAAAATATTAAATTTTAAATTTAAATATTAAATTTAAAACATTAGTAAAATAAAAATAATTTTTCTTCCACCAGTCTTTGAATTCCTTGAGGCCATAGATTAATGAATAGCTATTTAGTAGATAATTGTTATATTGAAATTAACTTTAAACTTTATATTACTTAAAAAATGAAACACAAGAGGGTGCTATTTACTATTTACTACTAATGTTTTGCATTTAAAAAAATATTTCTCCTTGTGAAATATAGTGCAGTTGCAACTTTATACTTTATTATTATTTTTTGGTTCTGGCTAAACCCCATTAATTTATTTTCTTTCTTTTTTTTCACTTCAGTTTATAGATTATTAGTTTTATATTAGTTTTGTCCATGTTACAGATTGGCAGTGTGTATCTATTTGGGGGGCACTCAGTTTCTAACTATATTAAGTAATTTTGCTAAATGGGAAGGTTTTTTAAAAATCATTATTGTTGAAAGTATTACATATGTTCCCTTTTTTCTCCTACTGACCCCTTTATTGCTTGCTACCCAATACCTCCACCATTCTACTTGTTATGCATATTGGAAAGTTTTTTAAAGAGGGTCTTTGATTTTTTTTAAAAGCCAAATTTAACATTTAGTACATTAAGTCTTTGGAATTGTTTTCCAAAATTAAGAACATATAATTATGACATTTTACTGACGAGCAGTTATAGCAAGAAACCTGCTGTTTAGAATTTACTCTTTGTCCCATTGGACCACCTATGAATAGGGTAACCATACATTTCACTATGGTTTGAACAGTCCTGCTTATATTTCTTGTTGCTTTATTATGACAACATTGCATCTATTATTATAACACTAGAGGCCCAGTGCATGAAATTCATGCACTCAGGTGGGGTCCCCCCACCCTGGCCTGTGCCCTTTCACAATGTAGGAGCCCCTCAATCAATCACCCAAAAATGTAGGCCCTGCCCACCCATATGGGGCTCCTCGATGTATTGCCCCAAAAAGGTAGTTCAGAGCCGGTGGTCCCACCTCTGCACTTCATGGGTCCGTGGGACCCCCAGGCCTGGCTGCATGGAGTGGCTGCCAGACCCCATCTCCACACCGCACACGCAGCATCAAATCCCCACCTACCCATGTGCGCCTGCTGCGCACACAGCCTCCTGGTGATGGATTGTGGGATTGTGATGGTGTGAGGGCATCATGGCATGAGTGCATGATGACCACCTAGGCTGTTATTAGTATAGATAACTAAAGGCCCTGTGCACGAAACTCGTGAATAGGTGCAGTCCCTATGCCTGCCCAGTGATGGAAGCACAAGCATCTGGAGTGGAAGGGCAAGTTTCAGATGACCTCTGGGCCCTGGGAAGCAACTGAGCCCCACTCACACCTGCCTTAGCCTGGTACCACCCACTCATCTGCTTCACTATCCACTGCAATCCCACTCTGGTTGGGGCCTTTCAGTGCCAGCAGTGCCTCTATTGCCACTCACTGCCAGCACCGCATTGCTGACCGCCGCCATGTCTGCACCATCCCCTGGTAGTCAGACATGTCATAGTCAGTGGTTGAACTCCCGGTCTCCTGGTTGAACTCCCAAATGACCACCCAATTTGTGGGTTCAATTTGCATATTAGGCTTTTATTATATACTAGCGGCCTGATGCATGAAATTCATGCATGGAGGGCAGTTCCTCAGTCCTACCTGCACCCTCTCCAATCTGGGACCCCTTGGGGGATGTCCCACTGACATCCCTTTCACAATCTGGATGACTGGCTCCTAACCACTCTCCTGCCTGCCTGCCTAATTGCCCCTATCCCTTCTGTCTTTGAGCCTGATCGCCCCTACCTTGCCCGTCTCCCAGCCTGATCACTCCTACCTTGCTCCCCGCCGCCGGCCTGATTGCCCCTACCTTGCCCCGCTGCCTACCTGATCACCCCTAACATCTATGCCTGCCTGCCTGATCGCCCCTAACTGCCTCTGCCTGCCTGCCTGATCACCCCCAATTGCCCTCCCTTGCCGGCCTGATTGCCCCTAAGTGCCTCTACTTCAGCCCCCACCACCATGGCTTTGTCTGGAAGGAAGTTAGACATCTGGAAGATGGCCAGTTGACCCAGTCTAATTAGCATATTACCTTTTTATTAGTATAGGTAGAGTATATAGGATAGGATTGCTTAAAAGGGCGGGGGGGACTTTTTTCAATAGAAGGAGATGCTCTTGGCAGACAAAAACATATAATCCCTATATCTGGACTGATAGCCAGCCATATGCACTGTACACCAAACCAATCATTAAAAAATAGAATCACTTTCTTACACCTTACACCAAACAGTTGTTGCCCTGAAAACCCCTCCTCAGCCCCCACCTTATGTTCTGATTTCACAGTTCACGCAGAGTAGGTTTTGATTGGTCGGTTTCTATGCCAGTCAACATCAAAAGCTCTGCCTCCTAGGCAGCCATTGGCTTCTCACAATTCACCCAGATTTAGTTTTGATTGGTTGAGTTATTATGCCTATCAGCGTCAAAAGCCCGCCTTCTAGGCAGCCATTAGCTCCTCACAATTCACCCAGATTTGGTTTTGATTGGTCGAGTTATTATGCCTATCAGCGTCAAAAGCCCGCCTTCTAGGCAGCCATTAGCTCCTCACAATTCACCCAGATTTGGTTCTGATTGGTCGGTTTCTATGCTAGCATCTCCAGGCCTATCTCTGGGTATGATCGTAGAGGTGGGGCTGATCAGCAGCTGCCCCAGGCTGCTGGCCTCTGGGGCAGAGAGAGACAGACAGACAGACAGACAGACTTGGCTGCTGGTGAGGCCAGGCCCGGAGAGAGAAGCAGGATAACCTTTCCTGCTTCTCTCTCCAGGCCTCACCAGCAGCCCTGCCACTGCTGATCAGCCTCTCCTCTCTCCGAGAGGTCAGCAGTTCAGCCCACACTCCTGCTGTGTATGCAGTCTGGCATTTGATGGAGCCTCTGTTCGTTGTAGATATTACTACCCTGGCTCTTTATATAGAGAGAGGAAAATAATTAATGGTTGCTCTTTTTTACTCTTAATACTCCCCGCCCCTCAATGTGGATGATAAATTGAATACTCTGTCTGTGAAAGCTACCATTCAGAAAGGTGGTGGGAATAGAAATACAAATAGGTAGAATTTTAGAGATTGTTTATATCAGAGGTCCCAAGGCCATCTGAATGATTTACTAGGCTTCACGGGACTCAGAAGTTGCTGTGTTCATGGTGACGGTTGTTGTGAAAGGATACAGAATGAAATCATAAAGACACCGGAGGGAAAGTCTGATGGAACAGAGTGCAAGCTTCCAGGTGTCCCTCCCCCTGGAGGCACACAGATGTGCTCAGTTCCCCCAGAAGTGATATGTGATGATATGTGCAAAGTGTTCTGAAGCTCATCTTAGCCTGAGTGTCCAGAATTTTTATTGGGTGTCAGTCATATAGGTAGATAGCACCTCTATGACTGACCTTGATTGCTTAGGTTCCTGAAACCTCAGAGAAAAAGAGATGTTTGCCATAAATCACATTGGTAGCATAAACTGCTCATACTGGTACATTAAATACTCTTGTCAGACAAAACTTTCCAAGCTCTCACTTCCCAGGAGCTAGCTGAGGGCTAGTCTGAAATCGGACCATTTTGCGGAATGTGTAGGGTTTCAGCAAGCCCTGTTGGCTGAGTTAATTCTTTCTCATATAAGATCATAGAAGGTATTCAAGCCAGAGTTTGAACCCAGGAAGTCTGATTCCAGAGACTACTCTTTCCATGAGTAATTTTTAGTGATCTTTATACTGATTTGCTAATTGGAAATTACTGGCTACATTAGATATGATAGCGACTTGGACTGTGCCCATCTATCCTGATAAAATACTTCTTTTTTTTAAAAAAAAAAAAAAGTCTTTATTTATTTTTAGAGAGAGGAAGGGAGGGGGAGAGAGAGAGACTTCAATGTGATGGAGAAGTATCAATTGGTTGCCTCCTGCACACACCCTAAATGGAGATTGAATCCGCAACATGGGCATGTGCCCTGTCTGGGAATCGAAACAGTCGCATGGGACAATGCTCAACCAACTGAGCCACACCAGCCAAGGCCTGATAAAATACTAATACACTTTCTTTTTCCTCACACAAGGATGGGGAGCTTGATTTGAGTATTTTTCAGTGCTTTTGTAGGTAAAAGGCGCTAAGAATTTCTAGTTCTTATTTTCAGCAAGGTTTGTTTTATATATTAATGTATTGAACAGTAGTTTACATGAAGAATAGTTTATAATTACTCCTTTTGCACTTAATATAATTTTTAATTAAAAAAGACACGTAATAACAGATTTATAAAAGTTTTTGTCACAAGATTGTCTGCCTTATAGGTAATAGATTTGAATGAACGCACATAGTTCTCAAAAGCTCTTAACTTTTTCTGTTTTCTGTTTTCTTAGGTATTTGTGGAAACATTAGACAAGTGTTTTGAAAATGTCTGTGAATTGGATTTAATTTTCCATGTAGACAAGGTACTACTCCTATGTTGTCAAATCTTCTAAGCTTTTTACCTGAGGGGGGAAAAATGTTAATTTTTAGTTGCCAAAGTAAAAATGGATTTAGTGAATACTGTTTTTATTCTCTGCTTAGGATTGTATGAATGGAGAAAATTACATTTAAATTGGATTTTTAAGGATTAGTAAATATTTTCACAGATAGAAAAGGAGAGGTGGTTCTATAGGCATAGATATAAAATATAATAGACACTTCTTGTGAGGGGGGATTGTTATTGATCAAGAGGCCTAATTTTTTTTTCTTTTATTCTTACTGATTTCAGAGAGAAAGGGAGAGAGATAGAAACATTAATGATGAGAGAGAAGCATTGATTGGCTGCCTCCTGCACACCCCACACTGGGAATCGAACTAGTGACCTCTTGGTCCCTGGGTCAACGCTCAACCATTGAGCCACACCCAGCTGGACAAGAGGCCTAATTTTGAAGTGCCTTTAGTGCCAGGGATTTTAGACTTTGTTCTGAATCAATTTAACCTTTTTAAAAAAAAAATATATTTTATTAATTTTTTACAGAGAGGAAGAGAGAGGGATAGAGAGTTAGAAACATCAATGAGAGACAATCATCAATCAGCTGCCTCTTGCACACCCCCTACTGGGGATGTGCCCGCAACCAAGGTACATGCCCTTGACCAGAATCAAAGCCAGGACCTTTCAGTCCGCAGGCCGACGCTGTATCCACTGAGCCAAACGGTTTTGGCTCAATTTAATCTTTTAAATAAGCTTTTATTGGTATCATTGTTGCTTTGTACATTTTGGGGGCAAGACTATTTTTTAAGTTGTATTGCTAGGTGAAAGATTAAGGACAGAGGAATCAATTTAGGAATCTGTTGCAGTAGTCCAGAAAGAAATGAAATAAGGCAGTATAGTAAGGATGAAGAAAGTAGAGTAAGACCCTGCTAGCCTGTTAAAAGCTGGAGGTGAGAGAGGGGGAGAATGACTGAGTTTTCTAATCAGTTATTATTGGGTATTGGTAATACAGAATTTAGAAGAGATTCCATTTTTACTATATATAGGTTTTTTTTTTCTGTATTAAGTTCATATAATTTAACATTGCTTTGAATTATTAAGCCATTTAATGAAATAGTCTGAAAATAAGTGGCTTAAAGTTTTAGCAAGAAAAGTGATTTTAAAAAATTACCTGCGGCTTGATCGGTGTGGCTCAGTTGAGCGTTGACTTGTGAACCAAGAGGCCGCAGTTCATTTACTGGTCAGAGAACATGCCCAGGTTGTGAGGTATACAGGAGACAGCTGATCGATGATTCTCTCTCATCATTGATGTTTCTATCTCTTGCTTCCTCACTCTTAAGAATATCATTAGGTAGCTAATATTTATTGATTATTTACTTTGTTTTGGGTACTTCCATGGATGACCTCTTTTAATTTTTCAGCAATCTATGAAGGAGATACTATTATTATCTCTGTTTTATAGCCCATTAAAATAAGACTTAAAGAGGTTATTTATAACTACCTAAAGCTTCACAGTAGTGATGAAAGTGGGTTGTAAGCCTTATTCCAAATTATTTTATTATACAGCTCATACTTATAAAGTAGACTCAGTAGTAATTAAACCAAAAACTGCTGGAATTATGAAATGTTTTTGTAGTGAATTTTATTTATGGGTGTCTATTATCTTTTTCCCTTTAGGTTCACAATATTCTTGCAGAAATGGTGATGGGGGGAATGGTATTGGAGACCAACATGAATGAGATTGTTACACAAATTGATGCACAAAATAAACTGGAGAAATCTGAGGTAAGAACGGAAAGTGCTCTAATTAATGAAGGTGGTAAACACGGTCATAAATTATGCATGATTTGCAGCTTTCACTGTTTGTCCTTTAGTAGCACCTTCTAGGTACAATTGATATGCTTATTCAGTTTTTAAATGGAATATCCATATTTTAGTATGCCAAATGTTCTGTGGCTACTATCCACCAAATAGTTGTGTGTCCTTCTTTTAGCCATAGTCATACTAGCCTTGGGTGATTAACACAATTCCAAATTCTTACTGCTTAAAAAAGAAATTATTTACTTGAAAATGGATTAAATATTTGCTTTATAAAACATTCGTCAGTAATTATCAAAGATATCTTAGAACTTGTATTTTAAAGATATATAAATTTAGCATTATAAAACTATTTCTGGAAGAGGGGAGAAGAGGCAATGGAATTTTCATGAGGAAATAATAAGTTATAATAGGTCACATGTGTCAAACACAAGGCCCGCGGGCCAAATCCGTCCCGCCAGGCCTTGCAATGTGGCCCACACCACGCTGTCATCACTGCACTCCGCTGCGTTTCCATCACAATGACAGTTTATGACTGTTCAGTAAACCATTCGGCCCGCGATTTAGGCTGGATTTTAGATTTTGGCCCCTTCTCTGATTGAGTTCGACACCCCTATAATAGGTGCTTAGCAAGCCTAAGTACATATTGAAAAAGGAAATTCAGTGCCTTAATCTTTTAATTCTGGATCCTTCCCAAAGGTCACTGACCAGTTTGCTAAGTCATATATTTTATTTGTTGATAAATATATTCATGGCTTTTATTGCATTCTCTAAGAGAAAGATTTGGTTAGTTATACAGTGCTAACTTTGTGCTGTTAGATTGGGTGAATGGGGACCAACCAGGACTTTAGCATTGTATAAAACCCTACTTTAGAATTTAGTGACTCCTCCTTCATGTACTAGGCTGAATATTAGTGACAGGTGCTATAGCTGAGCCACATAAGTTCACATTATTTTGGTTATTTATTGTAGCTGAAGTTTAGATACATAACATTTTAGTATCTCATTCAGTGCTATGCTTGTTTAAGGATACTCTTACCTTTGGTATTTATAGTCATAACTCAGATTAGGAAAATATATTTTATAATTATTAGTACAAATTCAGATGTTTGATTGGTATAAAGTACTATAAAAGCAGCAAGATACTAAAATATGTTAGAATTAATTTACAACAGGTGAGTTCTGAAGAATTATTATTTTGCTGGTACTTTAAATGATCAGTTTAATACAAATAAATACTATGCTCATTAGAACTGAATAAAACACAGGATGATGGATAAATACGAAGCTTGAGGGTACGAAGCTAGAAAAAGTTGCAAGTGAAAAAAACATTTTCCAATGTTTATTTAAAATTTCTTCTCATCTCAATTTATCATCCCTATTGGTTTTCCAAAGGAGAGACTTATAATAGTGAAGAACTTAAAATTATGGTTCTTTTAAGTAACTGTGTATTTGGTGTGTTCTATAGCCAATTTTTCAAGTATTGGTTTTTGAAAGGGGAAAATATAAACTGGATTAAACTAGGACAAGGAAAACAATTCAGAATACTATTTAGTGTGGTTGATTTGCAATATATAATATATAGTAAAATATTTACTATAAACTCTAAGCTGTAGTTTTTTTAAAGTCTTAAAATGATAATTTGAAAATTTCTTTTTACACTCAATCTGGTTTATTGGCTCATTATACATGTACACCAAATATATATGGAAACATAAATATTTCAACGTACAAATTTACATGGAACTCACAAATCACCCCCTTGTCTTTCATCCAGCACCCAAACTTGTACCCTATCCCGGCTCACTCTGGGATGAAGTTCACAGGGGGCTGGCACTAGAGGGTAGGAATCTGGAGGAGGGAGAGGTCCTGCTCCCCTCTCTTCACAGGTACCTCCAAAAGGTCCTGCTCTTCTCAGGGCAGAAGGCTAAATACCTCCACTCCCTCTCTGCCGCAACTCAAATCCCAAACGTCTTCTCTAATCCATCTCGCCAATTTATATAATTTATTAAACTTCACTTTACAAAATGATGGTTATATATTTTAAATTCCAAGAGACAGACAGTGACACAATCCATTAATCACTCTAAAATGAATTGATGTGGTAATTTGTCAATTTTGTGTAATCGTCTGTAAAAATATATAGACTTCTTGTCTAGAATTTTCACATTGAAAATTTCCAGGTATTTAAATTCTTTTTTCCATTGGTGGTATCCTTTTTCTTTCTCTTCTCTTTTTCCTTAGTGTGATGTATATAATATTAACAAAAGTCATAAAAGACCTATAACTGCATAATGGACATTTGTTTTTTGATTATTCAGTAATATTTTGTTAAGCAATTTTTTAATTTGTAAAATGCAGAATTTACATTTTTGATAGAAAGTTATAAGAATACTATAAATACTATTTTAAGTTGTTCTGAATATTAGTGAATACTCCCATTTTCATTCACTAATAATCTTTTAATATATAGTTAGTTATCTGCTACCAGATTAGTTTTTCTTTTTCTTCTTTACAAGAAAGTATATTTTAAATCTGATTGGGGATAAACCCCTACATATATTTAGTAAGTGTTTTTCTATATGTGATGTCTGCGTCAAAATAAGGTTATTTAGTCCTGATCATATTTTAAGAAATTGGGTTGAAAAATAATGTTGACTTTTTGTAATTTTTCAGTAATTTTAATATATTTTAAGTATGTTTGGAAGTCTACCAGCTTTATTCTAAACACACTGAAATATCAGAAATTTTCATGTGAGTTCTATTTCCAGGTTACTTAAATTGGTTATATCTATCACATGTGACTGCAGAAAAACCCAAAATTACTAATTTAATTAAGATTTATTATGCAAGCAAAACTTATCATGAAAGGCTTAACTAAAAATCCAGAGTATCATAATTGATGACAAGATCTGGTTATCTTATTTTTAATGTTAATTTAAATGATATTTAGAATAGCATTTATCTTTTAAAAATCAGCCTGGGTTTAATTAGACACAGCTCTTAAAATATAACATAAATCTATCTAGGTCCCTTTACTTTGTTAGATTTTGAAGATTTTATTATTTTGGGTTAATGGTAGTATCAATCAAAAGTGAACCAGTTTAATTCCCAATACCTAGACAGGTAGGAGCAAAGATCACCCAGATCTTTAACTCTTTGTACGCCATAAGCTTTTATAGATGCAAACCGTGGACCTTTTTAATTATATTCAAAATATCATGGCAGTTAACTGTTTAAAGAGAGAAGAAACAAAGATATGCTTTCAGTGTATTTTCAGCTATCCTGCTTTGATAGAAAAATGGTTTGCTTGTAACATTGGGATCCTGTGAAAGGAGGGTTAAGCTGGGAAGTTGGTGGGGTTTGGGGAAAATCTAAAAGGTACCCAGAAAGCTGCCTAGGAATGAGACTCCCTGTGGGTGAGGAGGATGGGTCGGGGAGACTTGTTAGTTTTTATGTATTTCATGTTATTTTTAAGATGAAAAATGACTCTGAATTTAGTTACTACTTTTTTAAAGTTAGTCCTCTTTTTTTCGAACATCCTGATCTTTCTAGCTCTTCCCATTCTTCTCTTTACAGACCTTTATCTTTCAATCTCCCAGACAGGACAGGTAGACAAGGTATTGCCGACTTTGAGAAAAATGTACTTTAACAAAAGGGAAAGCAAAATGATGTCAAAGGCAATTAATTATGTAGGCCAGACTCAAAAATTCTTTGTGTTAATGAACCCATATAGTCCCTGTAGCCTATTTTTCATTCTAGTTTCTCCTTGTAGTTTCTTCATCTTTTATTGGACTTAGTGTATTTTTCTAGTATATCATCAATGTCATCTTTGTTCTGTTTTGTCTGCCTGCATTGTGAAAGGAAAGGTTAAGTTTTTTGTTCTTATTTTTAAACATTGTCATTTAACTGACAAATTATATTTTGTAAAAATTACTATTTTGTCTGTTAAATTTAGAATTTATTTTTAGCATCATGTGGCAGAACCAATCTTACTTTAATACTCACAGATTTTCCCCCCTCATCTTTCTAAATTAGGATTCTAACATAAAATTGCCTACTAGGTTTTGGAAATTGTGAATTTAAAACCCAAAACCTGAGCCTTCAAAGTTTTGCATACAAAGTAGGAAGCAGTGAAGGCTTAGAACAGTGACTGTTAAGTAGTACTGCAGTTCCAAAGTCTTATCAGAATTGCTTTAACTAGTTTTGACAAATAGATGCATATTAAAAGTAGCCAATAAAAAACAAGATCAGAAATTATTAAAATTGAATTAAATTTTTAAAAATTTGTTTTAAAAAATGGAATTAAATATATTTACTAAAATAAAATGGATTTCAATTGTAGGAACCTTCTGACATCCAAACATGTCATAATAGGACAAAAAAAATATTATAAATTTTGAGTATTTTTATGAAGCATATTAGAAAATATTATAAATATTTTTAATAGACTCCTAGTTTTACAAAACTAAATTTTCTCTAGTATTTTTCTGAAAAAAAATTTTTTACACCATAAGTTAACTGTTTGAATTACTTTTTAAACATTTCTCTGTAACAACTTTTTGTACAAAACTATTTCAGGAAAGATGAAAATGTTTATTGGACCCCATTTAAAAACTTCAAAATAAAAATCTTTATTGAGCCCTATGGAGAAAAAAAAATCTATCAACTTAACAAGTTAGATTACCTACCTTGAATTTAGGAAAATGTCATTGAGAATGTGGCATAGCTATTTAGCCGCTAAATTATTGCTTTGAGAAGCAGCATCAGGTAGGTGATTTCCTAAGATCTTATCCCAGGATTATAAAGCTATATCATGAAGCTGGGGGTACCACATTTGGTCCCTAGATCCATATTACTTTATCCTTACAATAGAAAGTAAATAAATCATTCATTGATCCAAATCACTGCCAATTTCTGTGTTCTAGTTTTTAATTTATGTTAAACTGCTATTTTCTAACAAAAAACCATCAACCACTTGGGTCTTTTAACTTCCATACCTAGAACTAGTAATTAGCTTTTTACTTTTTTAAATCAAGTTTCTATTTTTAAAGAGTATAGAATAAAAAAGGGGGATTAAGTAACAGATGTTGGGAAGTCTAACTGTGAGTTGGTTCTGCCCCTCTGTGTTGACATGCAGTTATTCTGTTCTACAAAATTACAGTGGGGACCCCTGAGGTCAAAACTAGTTAATTAAATCCATGAATGGCATTAGTCTACTATATTATTTTCACACAGGCACTTTCTGTGCTAGAAATTAAACTATAAATGAAGATTATATAAAATATTCTAATGTTGATAAAATTTTAAAGAAAATACTATATTCTTACTAGAGGATTGTCATCAGTATTTCTCATCTCTTTGTTTATAATTGCAGTATTAAAGCACTGCCTTTTAAAGCAAAGAGCAAGCCTCTTATAAGTTCCCAGATTAAAAATTATTTTACCAAACATTCAGAAATTAAAATATTGGCATTTTGTATTTCATTCAAAACATGTTTAAAAATCTGCCATTACTTTGTTAATGATTTTTACTCTAAAACCATTTAATATTGTGTTTATTAATGTTGATGTTCTTTCACTTTGCTGTTAGGTCAAAATTTTGAATGTGCATATACCAACTTCCAGCAGGAAGGGTGGGTAAAGGTCTTAGTATGTACAAATTATTCCAACTACCATCTTCTTCTATATTTCAGGCTTAAAAAATATTTTAAGATGGTAGGTCGGTAATTTATGTCTTAGATAAAATAAATATTTAGATTCTTTCCTTTTCCCTTCAAGAAACTTAATTGCTATTACATGAGGAAAAGGGAGCTTTCAGATTTTTTAAAACATATTTTAGTAATGCTGCTTTTTTAGTTTTGCTTGCACATATTTTGTTTATTTTTGGGTCTGGCAATTTAAAAACAAAATTTTAAAAAATCATATCCATCCATTATTATCTTTGTGATTCCAGTGCTTGAAATTTCCAAGAGTATGTCTGTATAAGTCTTCTATCTGTTTGGCCTCATTTTGGTATACTTGCAGACTTCATTTTGTTTTCTTTCTCTTAATTCTGTTAATTTATTTAATCTCATGGGAGAGAAAACATGATCATTCTTTTATATACTGTACTTCATTCCTTCATCTAATTCATATTCCTAACAGCTTTGGGTTCATATATTTGTTTTTGTTAGTGGAGTTGCTGCAGTTTACGTGCCATGGTGGTGCTCAAGTAAAATAACATAGATGGAAACAAGTTATTTCTCCAGTAGGATTTCATTCCTTTTTTTCCTGCTTGTGTCAACTATGTTATCCCAAATCTTTAAGAACTATGTTGTACTGTCATTTTACATTTTAAATTGTATAAATTACTAAGAATTCAGGTAAACTTCATTTCTATAAATTTGAGTGTAAGTTGTCTTGTTTCTTTGAATATATCTTTACTGAGAAGGAAACTAAGATGAAAATAATTACATTTCTGTGTTGGCAAATTGATTTTCTAATGGCAAATTACGATTTATTCTTTAATAAAACGTTTCAGACTTCACTTTCATGGAAGTCTGAAAATGAATTTCATTTTATAGCAGTTCAGTTAGGATGTTGACTACCTGGTAACATGAAGTGTTTTTTTTTTTTAAGCCCTAAGTTTTTGTATATAAACATTAACAGCTCATATAAACATCTACTTAATAATCAACAGTCCATCTTGTATTTTTCTGTAACATTTTATATTCTGTAGAATTTGTTTTCCTAAAATGTTTCTTTAATTAAAACTTAATTGACATATACATTACAATTTAAAAATTTTGTACCATTTAAATTCATGACATTCTACACAAGAGTATTGAACATGCTTGAGAAATAATTTGATTCTCTTAATCCATTTGCGTGTTCTGAGTAGTAACCATCCTTTGCATGTCTATGGCTTGCTGCTTATGTTTAAAAGAATTGTAATTTGTTGTACTTAGAAACTTCTTTTGGTTTTACATAATAAAAACTTGGCACATATATACTATTTAAATCTACTGCTCTATAGATTTTATATATTCTCATTAGTAGCCAACTGTTAACACCATCTTTTGTCACAAAGAAATTGCTTAATCTATTGAAACCTATGAGTCTGTATTTTTATTCTCATTTTCTTTGCTTAAGTTCAGTTTAGCATTTCATGGTATAGGGTATTATGGAAAAGAAGGATTCTTGACAATTATATTTAGTTTAATACTGAAAACAATTTATTTATAGTCTAAATCATAGCATCCAGTAAAAAAACACACATAATTACCTTTTCTCTTTTTCACAAAATCCTCTAATAATTTATACCTTTAAAAATATTTATATTTAAATATCTTAATCAATACTTTTCTGTAGCCTAGTCATCATTTGTACCCTTATAGAAATTTCAGAGTGAAAATAGTATCCCATTAGTTTGTTGTTTAGAAAAATTATAAAATTTATTCTACCTGGAAAAATGATACTAGTTCCAGGATATCGATGACTTTGTAAAATAGTTTTTGTTCCCTTGGCAGACAACATACTTCCTGTTAAAAGGAAGAGAACCTATAACATGGTAAAACTATTTGAACTTAATTATTCTTTGATTCTCTTGAAATGATCATCTTAAAGACCCTTTTCAAAAAAAAAAAAAAAAAAAAAAAAAGACCCTTTTTAATCTGATTTATGCTACCCTAAGTAATATTCATATATTTGTCTTGGGGGGCAACGGGAGAGAAGTAAGTTATAACAAAAACTGCATTACTTCAGGTAGGTATAAATGTAGAAGTCAATCAAATTTTTAATAATACATCAAAATAACTAATCCCTATTAAATTACAAAAACTGAAGTCCCAGCTCTATTAAGTCTTTAATTGGGTATGGAGTGTTTCGTCCATATCACCCTTATCATTGCTGTGTGAACCACATTTATAAATACTAGCTTACTGATTTTTCTATTATTTCCGATTCTGACTTGATAATCCATGGCTTTTATTTCATTGCTTAACAATGTTTGTATCCTTTATTCAGCAAATAGTTTACACTGGCCTATTTTGTATCAGTCAAGATTTTTCTCAGGTAACAGCTTTTAATATTTTTTTAGTTAACAAAAGAGGTAGGATTACATAAGAAAAATGACCTAAAGTTACAAAACAGGACTTTAAAACTAGTGGCTCTAATAACATGAACATTGTTTCTTATATAGGAGTGGGCTAAAGTAGGTTTAAAGTTGTAAGCAAAGCAGGGTTTATTCTTATATTATTATTTATTATTTTCCATGCAGACAACTGTAAACCTACTCTTGCTAACCCCTGTATATATGTAATGTAATCAAAGTTGAAGATTTGTTTGTGTTACTTAATCTTTGTGCAAGACAATGTATGCCAATGAGATGTTCATTGGCTTTATTATATAGCATGACTAAAAATTGATTAAATCAAATTGGTATATAAATTAATCCTTAAAAATATGAATTTCGTTAATGTAGCTACTTGAAAAAAATATGTGTTAATTTTTTATTTTTAAGCATATTTTTATTTCAAATTATAAATTTTCCTACTAAGATAAAAGCCAAATATTGTACAATAATGGTACTGAGAGTTTTAAATTTTATTTATAAATTTTAAATTTTATGTATGCTATCTTTTACATTTATGCTATTCTTTAAATTTGTATTTTGTAAACTAAACATATGTTGTTGAATCTACTTGATATGACAGAATATTTTTAATTGTTATATCTTTACTAATGCATCAAAGGTTGGAATGATCCTCTTGTTGCAGTTTCATTTTTAGGCAGACCTGTTCTGTTTGGATTTTTTTTTTTTAAATGTCCTAGAACTTTTTAAAAGTTTAGAATAGCCTCCATAAGTTAAAAACAATTTTAATTTTTTTATTGTTTTAAGGCATTAGCCCTAAGTAAAAAAAACTAAGCAAGCATGACCTATTGCTTTTAATTTTTATTTCACAGCATATATTGATAATAAATGTCATTTAGAAAGCAAAACCCCCAAATATATCATGATTGTTATGAGATGTTTAATAAAGAAATAATGTAAAATATTCTTCATGCTTATATCATATGTAATATCAAGATATTAGGTGGATATCTAGCTTTTAGTAATTTGAATATTATGTTAATATACAAGTGGTACAGTTTAATTTGTATTTAAATCTTTACATTATCATTGCATGTATTCACTGTATTTTTTAATGTGTCACTGTTTCCTCTTTATAGATTAGTATTTCAATGTAACCATCCCATATCAATTCAAACTTACCATCAAGTCTCTAAGCTTGTTACATGAAAATCTTTTATTATTGTTCTCCATTCTTAGTGTTTTTTGGTGAGCTACTCCTGAGTTGTACATCTTTTTCTTTTATTTGCTTCTGTATACAGGCTGGCTTAGCGGGAGCTCCAGCCCGTGCTGTTTCAGCTGTAAAGAATATGAATCTTCCTGAGATCCCAAGAAATATTAACATTGGTGACATCAGTATAAAAGTGCCAAACCTGCCCTCTTTTAAATAAAAAAAAAAATTTAAAAGGCCACTCCCAGGTAAAATTCAGGGGGAAAAGTCATCTAAGTTTACCATGCAGTTGTTTACCAAAAATACAGGAGGAGAGTCTTACATTTTGCTCTTGGATTTAAGTCAAGGTACTGTATAGAAGTTGTGTAAAATCAATATGGTGGTTCACTGTTGTTTTTCTTGTTCAGTGATTTTAAAGAAATTGAGTAGTTTCAGTGTGATTTTTTAAAAATTTCTTTTCTAAACTGCATTCCTATACCCACCTAAGGCATGCTTCTATGTATTGGCTACAACAGTATTTCAGAAAGTGTTTGAAACATTTCTTTAAATTATGTACAACCCAAAATGTTGGTGGTGTTTTGTATGGATCACAAGTATAGCATTCCTTAATTCTTCCTGTTATTTGTCATGACTGTTATTTAAAGAATCAAGTATGTATTGCATGAAAACATTTTGACCTTTTCCTCTTAGTTTAAATAAACTACAAAAAGGTAACTGGACTCTTAAAGCACCTTTCTGTTCGCCTGATATCTACTTTAGCAATATTTTTTATGACCTTCTTATTCAACAAAGTAAATAAAAGTGTATTATATCACTGTTAAGCAGCTGTTAATGACGATGTGTTAAATTCATACTTCTGTCTTTAATACAGTCAGACCTCAGTTCTCCAGCATCTCCCAACTCTAACAATTCAAATCTTGACCAAGTTCAGAGAAAAAATGTCTTGTTTGTCAAACAAAACTTCTATTCTCAACTGGATCACCCTTTCATGCGGACACCTGTATAATCAGTCACGTGTTTCTCAGGTGGCAAACAAAGGAGAGAATGTGCAAGTCTGAGTCAGTTTACCACTAAACCTCACATTGTTAACATCTCAGGAAACTGTGCTGTGAATATTTTTTGTTTTCTTTTGTTGCTGCTTATTATTATTGAATACAGTAAGCCTCCATGGGTCCTAAGGAGGTTAGTGATAGCAGCAAAGTGAAAAGGAAAGATGTGAGAACAACAAAAGAGCTTTAAAAAAGAAAATTGCAAGGTATGATAGAGATGTTTGGGTGTCTGATCTGGCTACTAAATATGGCATGGCAAAATCGATGATTAGCACAATTTTAAAATGCTAAGGGTATGAAAGTGCTCACAAAACAAAGCTAAAATGGAATCATTTGGGAGTCTGGAATGAATTAATGCAATTTACATTATTTCTAATTGGGGGGAGAGGAATGGTCGATTTTCAAACAAATCGCTTCTGGAATAGCCTTCTGGCATGAATTAAGTTCAAGAACTGCAGTTCCAATGTATTCCAAAACTCATTGAATTATTCTAAAGTTTAGTTATTTCACAATCAAAAGTAATGTATCTCATAACACATTGTCCAGGATGAGTTTTGGAATGGGATATGACAAATCTTTTTCTAAAAATTGTAGAATCCATTTTATACATAAAGGTTTAAATCTTGCATTTGATCTCTTCTTGCTCAGTTGAAAAATAATTTTAGCAAATAGTTTCTTTTGACCGCAAAACCCTTTTGAACTCCTTTTGATTGGCCCATCCCTAAGTCAAAGCTATACTATTTTCCTAAGTCCTAACACTCGTATTCTGATAATTGGCCCACATTTTCTTATTTGGTCTTACCTTGTGAACAATGGGTGGGGTTCCTTTTCCAATTAGACCAAGTTTTTCTACACTTCTTCCCTCCCCAAATGTCCTCTGAAACATTTCGTTAGATTTGTGGGATGTAAGCAAAGTCACTATTTTTTTCTAAATAAAATGAATCTGACTCTAAGCCTCTTCCTATTGAGGCAACAGGAGATTCAGTCAGTGATTATTTCCATCAATTCACAAATGTGTAAAAGTCTTAGAGGAAGGTTTTACAAAGCACATTCAGGGAGATCCCTGGTCTTCAGTCATTTGACAAATGTTTAAGTGCCTACTGTACCAGGTGAGTAAGTCCCTGTTCTCATGGATCTATACACTGTACCACACATAGGGCTGGGCAGTATTTCCTCCTTTCTCCTTTTTCTTTGTGTTTTCTTGAGGGGGTGGGAAGGGGAGGATTATGGGAAGATTAAGTTTTGTTTGTTAAGGTTGTGCCCAAATTAGGGAAGCCTCTGGGCAAGATCATACTTTAATCTAGAGAAACAATCAAAAGGGTTTTATTTCCATTATATTCTATGAAATACAATGCTCAAACAACCAATCAGTATTCCTCCTCTTCCCCTTCCTTTTTCCTTTAGTACTTACTGAGCATCAGCTATGTGCCAGGCTTGTTCTAGGTACTCGGATATAGCAGGGAACAAAATAGTTTATATTATAGCATAAATTTAAATGGCCACAAACGAACAAATATATAATATGCCAGGTGATGATAAGTACTGTGGAGATAAATTAAGCTGGAGAAAAGGGCATAGGGAGTAGCAAGGTAGAGAGTTGGGCTGTGACTGTGATGTATAGAGTGGGTAGAGGAAGGCATCACTGATGAAGTAATATTTGAATAAAAACCTGGAAGTAAGGAGGGAGTTGTGGAGATTTGTGAGGCAAGAATAGCCCAGACAGAGGAAATAGCATTGGCAAAGCCCAGATATGTAAGGGCATGGGCCTTCTACAAATCAAGGCTGATTTAGCTACTGCTTGTGTCAAATACAGGGTGGGACAAAAGTAGGTTTACAGTTGTTTGTATGGGTAAATTATCTTAACCAACTGCAAGGTCAGGGTGGCAGCCTCAGTTCCACAATTAATAAATAATAATACAAGAAAAAAAACTTTTGTATACTTACAACTCTAAACCTTCTCTTGCTCCACCTTGTATTTTATCTGCCAATAACAGAGATCAATGGTGAGGCCCTGATACAGTACCTTCCCTTGAGAAAACCAAGCAGCCACTTGATGGCAAGTAAGTTTGGACCCCTTCCATCTTAGAAAGGGTAATAAATTAATCCTCCTGGAACTGATACAATTTGGGTATGAGCTTTTCTTTCCCTGCTGCATAGCCACAGCCAACATCCCTATTCAAGCACCTGTCTGGGATCCTACATAGCATCACAAAGGACTTCATAGCAAAAGAGGTGCAGCAGTGAATTCAGAACAGAGAGGTCAAGTGATCTTGTCATTTGCTGCCCAGCTCGGAAGCTGCTGGACTGATAGAGCAATTTAATGGTATTTCAAAAAGGCACACATGATGGTAGATACCCTGTGAAGATGGGGAACATTCTCCAGGATGTAACGTATACCAACCTTTACAGAGTGTTCTGTTTCCAACAGATAGACTACCTGGGTCCAGGCACCAAGGGGTAGAGTAGGAGTACCCCACTTGCATCACTCCCAGTGACACACATAGGGGAGTTTGTGCTTCCTGTCATCACAACTCTAGGATTTATAGGTGTAGAGGTCTTGGTTCCCAGAAATGAAGTGCTTCCTGCAGGGGCACACCGTGAGCCATGTTAACCTTTAATGTACAGCTGCCCTCCAGTCATTGCAAGCTCCTCATATCAAAAAAAAAACAGTTGGCAAAGAAAAGAGTCTCCATCTTTTATTCCTTCATATCTTTAAGGTCTAACCCAAAAAGAGTCTTTCAGAGCTAAAAAAAAAAAAAAAAAAAAAAAAAAAAAAAAAAAAAAGCATGCTAAGTAGTTGGGAAATAGATATCATTAGGAACTTGCTGCTGGGCCTCCAGATGCTGATTTAACTCATTCAGACTCCAAAATCAGAAGTTAACATAGTGTATTGTGGGGAGGGGGGCAAAGGGAGAGGATCAAACTGAAGAATAACCTATTGTAAATGAAAAAGAGGTGAAGATGCCTTAAACTATTCATATAAGATCACAGATTTTGGAGGATATAATTTCTATATTAGAACTACAGGCCCGGTATATGAGATTTGTGCACTGCGGGGGGGAGAGGGGGGGAGGGAGGGGATACCCCCTTAGCCCCACCTGTGCCCTCTCTCAATCTGGAAGCCCTCAGGGGATGTCCAACTGACAGCTTAGGTCTGCTCCCCATGGCCTAAGCCGTCAGTTGGACATCCTTAGCACTAGCACAGAGGTGGGAGAGACTCCTGCCACTGCCACCATGCTTGCCAGCTATGAGCCCAGCTTCTGGCTGAGTGGTGAAGCACTGACCACCAGGAGGCAGCTCCTGTGTTGGGCTTCTGCCCCCTCATTGTTAGTGTACATCAGAGCAACTGATCATTCTACTGTTCAGTTAATTTGCATATTGGCCTTTTATTATATAGGATTACCTTCTGTAATAGATTTCTCCCTAAGAATTGATAGAAAGTGTTGTCAGATCATGTTGATGGATGTTTCTCCTTTCCCCTTTCTAAACCATTAGTCATCCAACCACAAACAAAAGTGCTTTATTGGGAGATGTGGGAGCCAACAACCTACACTAAGGTACCTGAGAGGACTCTAACTGTGCTTTCAAAAATAGACTAATACACCTGGTAAGGGCTGAGGGTCAGAGGGAGTTAGTGAGCCTGCCCCATACCTGCTCACCTCAGTAGGAGAAAAAACCTGGAGTGCTTGTCTGTTCAGATTCAAGCAATAGAGAATTTGTAGAAGTCTAGCCTATTTGAGGGAAGATTTCAGCACAACATCATAGTGGAAAAGATAAGAATTTGTGCACAGTGGAGAGAGAGACTGGCAGAGCCCTATACCAGTAGCACCACCCACCACCACCACCACGTGACAATGCATGGAGCTAAGCTGTCAAGTGTTGTGGAAAGCTGTGAGTGAAGGTCTAGCTAGCCATTTTGTGGAGTGTGGCTGGAGAAATCTGTTTCTCTCCAGCAGCACCCAGAATACTGAAGTGGAACCTTCATGACTTGAGGGACGGAGTAGAAAGGGAAGGAAACAGATAAGAATATCAAAGGGAATGGAATAAGTGGTTCCTAATGACTGCTTCAGGACTTAAGCAGGAAGTTCACCCATAAGTATCCCACTTAAGAATCTCCCCACTGGGTTAATGGGCTCCCACATCACCTGTGGTTGTTAAACTCACATCACTCTTGACGCTGTGGAGGATCTTTGTGAGTGTTTCCGAGTGCAGCAGTGAGATCAATTCTGAGGTGCTCAGAAAAATTCTGGTGGGCAAGGGAGAAATCAAGAACTGGAGCTATAGTGCCACCTTCCGGGAAACAAAAGAAAGGTTTCCAGCAGCCAGCCTAGTTATAAGAATGAAAAAAAAAAAAAAAATGTAAAAGCTTAAGAAGTCTGCCACAAGCCAAAACTGGCTTGGCTCAATGGATGGAGTTCAATTCCGGTCAAGGGCATGTACCTTGGTTGAGGGCACATTCCCAGTAGGGGGTGTGCAGGAGGTAGCTGATTGATGTTTCTAACTATCTCTCTCCCTTCCTCTCTGTAAAAAATCAAAAATTTAAATATATATATATCTGCCACAAGAAGCAGCAAGAGTGGGGCAGGCTACCCATTCAAAAGTGGAGGAAACCCCAAACATAGCAACACCAATGATCACTACCCGTGGGAAAACAACCCTAAAGATTTAAG